CCCCCCGCCGCAAACAGAAGCGTGTGGACACAGGGCGCCTCCGCCGCTCGCCGCCGCGCCCCCGCGCGCCGCCCCGCGAAGCCTAATTGAATAGCGAGATTTCTCCCGGGCGATAAAGCGCGCCCGGGTCAGGCCGGGCCGCAAGCCGGGGGGTCGCCGGAGGGTAGTGATATGGCTTCGATGCGAAGAAAAGTGACGCATCTCTAAATTGTACATTTTGGACTGAAGAGCTCAGTGACTATCGTTGGCGCTGCGGCGTTTCTGACCAGGAGGTGCGTGGGTTCGAGTCGCGACGGTGGAAGTTTCGACACAATGTACATAGCTAAGGCAGATTCAGCCGCAGTCTTCAAAAGAAATTCAGTGGCCGGTCACGCTAGCTGGTTTCCCCGATCAATAACCGACGAACGCCGGAGTAGTACTCTAAGAAACGGGCCACGGACAACGCGCGATACTTCCTTGCCCCTTCCTTTTCTCTTACACACACACACATATACATGTGAGTACTACACTACTACACATGCCGGGAGACCAGTTAGATACTCCGAGCATATTCTTGTTGAGGCAGGGCGCCGCCGAGGGAGATACCTGGAGGGGAAACACCACATTTCATCTACAAATGGTTCTACACTCTCGAGACTAATGACCAAAGTAGTTGTCGCGCCCTCTCCTACTCACTTTAACTAACAAAAAACACGTTTAGAAAATCGTTTATTTCTCTAATAAAAATTTGATGTTAAAAGATGAATAGAAGAAAAAATAAAGTTCACCAGTACCAAGATTACTTTACTTTGTGTTTTGCTGCGAAATACACGGCACCGATTAGGACGAAACCGTTATCCTGCAAAATGGCAATTCGGAGTTTCGTCCCATTTCTTATGCACCGACGATTCCTGGAAGGAGATGATTACTTGGATATTGAATTGCGGTGAAAAAGAAGTTTAAAACTCTGTGTGTGTGTGTGTGTGTGTGTGTGTGTGTGTGTGTGTGTGTGTGTGTGTGTGTGTGTGTGTAGCGCACTGTGGGGGAGATGTTCAATCTGTAGATTGTGTCGTACACCAAAGCGGATGCCACTCAGAGGTTGAAATCCAAACCAATTGGTTGAATATAGGTGAAGCTATAAAACAAGGAAAAACATCAAACAATTAAGTGAGAAAAAAAGCACCTAGTTTATTACCGTAAAATATGTGATGAGTTTACAGTGTATCAATATCATTCCAACCAAACACAAGAATAAAGATACTTCAACTTAATGGAAATGTTTAATGAGAATGAGATGCTTAAACGTGCTCCGAAACACATGAAAATAATTTCGCGTTTCACCAGTCACTAGTACACCCCTACGCAAAATGACACACGAAGAAGTAAATTTTGGATGTGAAAAAGAAGAACAACAACAATACGTTAAAGAAAAAGAAGAGAGAAAGTGACGGTAGAGAAAGAAAAGAAGATATAATGAAATAAAGGAAGATGTGAAAAGGGAGGTTATGAAAGGGCAAGATACGAAGGGTGAAAATCACAAAGAATCCAAGAAGGAAGAGCAAATTACTTTTAATTTCTTATTTTACATCAGTAGTTTCAAATCAACAGTTTTGACGTAAATAAGTAAATAAATGGCAGTAAAAATAAATATATGTGAAATTTGGGAAGAAGAAAATCGTTACGTTACTGTGCGGCTGCAAATTTTAGGCGGGGATTGAATAGAATCTTGAAATAAATCTGAAGAAGTTAAGATCTCTGAACAAGAAGAGATTTACAATAACTTTACAGGCATAGATCTTCTCTAAAATTTATTATTACTGTATATTTCCCAATGTTGTTATTAAAAAATAAATATGATTTTTGTTTTTCAGCCTCACACTGGAAGAGAGGGAGCTGATGGAACACAAAATGAAACAGTAACACCATGGCAGTAAATTTTTCAAGTGGCGATCCCCACTAAGTTAACGCGGAAATACGTCCTTAAATACCGTATTCATTTATTGGGTGAATAACGTAGAACATATATAATTTAAAACAAGTGATTCTCGCATTATTACCAGAACACATTTTCTCGCATTATTTGTAACGTTTATAAATTTCGAAAATTCAGAGTTCAACAAAAGTTATATCTGTGCAAATTTTAGGGATCCTTTACTCAAGAGCTTCCTTAAGAGACTAACTTTTAGAACATATTCTATTAAGGGAGAATATCGTCATTAATATTGTACTTTTGAAATGTCAATTTTTCGCAATTTTCAAAATACAGAGTTCGCCAAAAATGGAACAAGGGTAGTTTTTGCGTACTTTTTTGAATTCGAGGGAAACATTTAAAGAAAATGTTTGGAACCACTTTTTTAAAAAACAATTTATAAAAAATTGTCAATATTTTACCCTAATTTATGCAAAACTCCTCACATATTCGTAATATAGTATATGACATTATTTAAAGATCTTTCTGAAGAATGCGTTTTATTAAGAAAAACAATCTGTATCGTCAATAGTAAGGTTGTAGAACGTCTCCGAAACTTTAACAATTTAAAAAAATTCAGAGACTTCGACGAAAGTGAGAGACGTATTTTTTAAAGCGCGTTTTGCTTTATCAGAGAAAAAAGTGTAATCCAAAAATTTGGAGTCATATTTTAACAAAGCGAATAATGTTATGTACAGTTTATGTAAAGTACTTTCACAAAAATCAAAACATGTTTGAAAACTCGGTGGCTCTTGAACTGGGCGAGATCGATGAAGGGGACATCAGATTTGAAAGAAATCGTTTGACTCGTTTAGACTCTAACGTTGACGAAAATCAGATATACATTTTACGAGAAGACGGAAGTTTTACTTTCAACCAATTTGTGGGTACCAAGGCCTCACAAACATGGATTCCCACTACACAACGTGAAGGTGCTCCAGTAGGTTAAAAATTAAAAAAAAAGATTTTTACTTTTTAGCTGTTAAAATAAAAGAGATTTTCCTCTTTAAAATGATGTATAAATCGGTCATATTGTACATATTTAATTGTACATATTTGTACATATTTTAGACAGCTAAATATGTTTTTAAAAAATGTGAGTGGCCTTGGTGAAATGACGGAGTGAACGTCATTTTGACAGCTGTTTCTAATAGATAAAATATTTGAAACTACCACAATTTACACGGATTTCCTGTTTCAGAGGTTTGTCTGCCTGCTCGATTTTCATTTGTTCTTAGTCCGGTTTGTTTGTTTACACTTCCAGAGAGCGTGATATCCATGTGATTTTGATTGAGAGAGTCTGGTTAGAGGTTAGTGCGGCAGTTTCACAGTGTTTTGTGGTATTTGCGTTGAGTTTTTAATATTAATTATGAGTAGAAATTATTTGAAAGTGTTTAAGAAGAGGAAACGCGTTGGTAAAAATAAATCTCAGGAAGTTTTTAGTCCATCAACAGTCTCAGATGAAAACACATTGCAGGATGATGTTAGGTGTGCGAACCTTTCTGAAAACAAGATGGGCGGAACTGAAGAAATGTATTACTCGCGCAACTTTTCTTGAACGATGACCTTGATCCCCCTCCCTTGTGCAATTAACAGTTGAAGGCAAAAGCTCGCAGCGGGCACTGATGACAACCTTCCAAGCATTAAAACTTCGTTGGCGCGAAACAGAAGCTAGTCAAAGCCAGTTGCTTTCATAGTGCAGAACCCCTGTTTAGATTTATTGTCAATATCGAAAGAAATAGCTGAGTCAGGTCCAGGTCCTTCAAGGGAGTCACCTAAAACTCCCGAAAAAGTTAAGCACAAGATGCAGTTTTGACGTTCATTTAACAGACGTTGGCATTACTTAAAATACTCTGGTGGATGACTTTGTAACTAATACCCCCACTCCACCCGAAATCGTCAATCCATCGTTCAAGAAAAGTTGCCCGAGTAATACAATATATTTCATCAGCAATGCAGTGAGTGTGACACTAATGAAATATTTGAAATGAATACACTCCGTGTCTTGCTTTTTAACAGTGTGAGTTGCAAAATGTTTAATAATGGGGGTTTACATTTAGAAACTGTAAGGCGAAGTGGACTTGGCACACAATTTCAAATTACTTCCACGAATTGTGATTATAAAATTAATTTTTACAGTTCAATACAATGTGAAGAAGATTCTACAAATCATTTTTATGATATTAATGTTAGATTAGTGTATGGGTTGCAAGTAATTGGGAAAGGTACTACTGCGGCAAATGTTTTGTGTGGTATATTGAACTTGCCAACACCTCCAACAAGATTTGGAAATTGTAATAAAGTCATTGGGGACAAAGTAGAAGATGTGTCATTGATGTCAATTAAAAGTGCAGTGCAGAGAGAAAAGAAGAAATTTCAAAAGGAAGTTGGAAGATTCATTTCGTGAAAATGAAGGAGAACCCAGTTATGGAGCTGGAATGCACTAAACATTTCAACGGCTGTTTTCCGTAAGTTGTATATTTTTCTCATAAGGTGTAATTTTTCTTAAAAACTACCCAACAGAATTGAATGAAAGTTTCAGTATGAGACACTCAGTGGCACTTTAACACGGGCTTTTTGCACTTTCACATATCATTATATTATCACATATCATTCAACATTATATTTTTTCATATATATATATATATATATATATATATATATATATATATATATATAAGTTAGGATGGCAGGTATACTAAAAAATATAGTATAAATCTGTTAACAAATTAAAATATATGTTTGTAGCATTTAAGAAAAATATTGTAAATCCAACACCTTAAAGAAATCATCAAACATTATTGAGCATATCCTTTTTATTGTAAATTATTTCGTTGGGTAGTTATTTCAAAAAAGTACACTTCAAATTGGTTATTTAGCATTGCTGGGATAGGGCCTACTGGAGCACGGAGGAAGTAATTTACTACATAGAGAAAAAAATTTATTCATTTTTTCGATATTACAGCCTCACAATATGGTATTTTCTGTCGAAAAATCGCGAAATGAAACGCTCTAGGGCGAAAGAGACACGTCTCTTCCAACGATTGATGCACAGATGTGTTTTTCGTCCATACTGAGCTTCCTCCCTTGCATTAGTGCTGCGGGGCCCGCACAGAATTATTTTATAGATAATTACGCTGAACTTCTTTACGGAAGACAGACATCTTTCTTTCTTGAAACTCTTTCCTTGGGTTTCTTCTTTCATGTCTTTTGTGTCATTTTTATATCAACGGAACGAAATATCACATGACGTATTCTATTAAGCTTAAACGTGCATTGTTCTTGAATGAGTGGACGTCTTCATGCTACGGCACTGGTCTGTCCTTGCTCCCCCAGCGCTTCCTCTGATGCGCCCTTAATTGCGTGGCGACGAGGGCGCGAGTGAAGACGAGTGCGAATGTGAGGGCGAGGATGAGGTCGAGATGAATTCGAGGGCGAGGGCAATTCTGAGGGCGAGAGTGGGCGCAAAGACGAGTGCGTGTGTGAGGGTAAGTGTGAGGGCGAGAGAGATGGAGCTGGGGTAAGCGAGGGCAAGTTCGAAACGATTTCGAGGGCGAGGGCAATTGTGAGGGCGTGAGTTAGAGCAAAGATGAGTGCGAGTGGAAGGGTAAGTGTGAGGGCGAGGGCGAGTGGGATTGAGCTAGGGTAAGTGAGGGCGAGTTGGAGGCGATTTCGAGGGCGAGCGCAATTCTGAGGGCGAGAGTGGAAGCAAAGACGAGTGCGAGTGTGAGGGTAAGTGAGAGGGCGAGTGGGATAGAGTTGGGGTAAGCAAGGGCGTAAGCGAGGGGTAAGCGAGTTCGAGGCGATATCGAGGGTGAAGGCAATTCTTAGGGCGAGAGCGGGTCCAAAGTCTGCGAGTGTGAGGGCAAGTGTGAGGGCGAGGGCGAGTTCGAGGGGAATGTCGATGGCGAGGGCGCGAGGAGCTCCGGCTCGTGCGCCGCGCCGCTTCATTTGAAGGGAGGCAGCGGCAGGTGCGTAATGGAGCGAGCTCATTGCCGGGAGGCGGCGGGCGGCCACGCGCTCGGCGCTCGGAGGGAGCGGGGCGGGGAGGCAAGCGGAGGCGTTTTGTGCGCAGACAAACGCCACGCGGGGGCTCCCGCCCCCGCCCTCGCCCTCGCTCTCAGCCTGGCCCGCCGCATTCACATGCCGCGAAAGGCGGCGCGAGCGAAGCGATCCCGTGCGCCGCGTATGGTTCTCGTTCTCTCTCCCTCTCCCTCTCCCTCACCCTCTTTTCCCGTCTCTCTCCCTCTCACCCCTCTCCTTCTGTCCTCTCTCCCTCTCTCGCCCTCTTTCTCCCCCTCTTTCTCCTTCTTTCCCCCTTACTCTTTCTCGTTCTCTCTCTCCCTCTCCATCTCTTTTCCCCTCTCTCCCTCTCACCTCTCTCCCTCTGTCCCCTCTCCCGCCCTCTTTCTCCCCCTCTCGCCCTCTCTCTCCCTCTTTCTCCTTCTCTCCCCGTTCTCACTCTCACTCTCTCACTCTCACTCTGTCACTTCACTCGATTTTTGGAGTTCAAATGGTGATAGAGTAACTATGTATAACGTGAGAGAACGTTAATATAAATTTAATGACACATTTGATGCCAAAAATAATTAAACACAGAAATGCCGTGTTTAAATATGAAGTTATATACCGATAAAACAACGAGAATTACAAAAAACTTTAAAACTGTGAGAGATGTTCTTTGTTAATATTATAGAAACACGATAAGACAAACATAACTGATCATTCGTGCTTAAGCGTTGAAATTGATATAAATGGAAAGAGAGAAAAATAAAGAACTTACCTAGAAAGATAGCATTAAATTTCACATTGGGCGAGTAGCGGGCTTGAGGCACGAGAAGACGTGAATGTAGAAAAGATATGCATATAAATATGGGAACTGATAACTGTGTACAGAATATAGGGAATGCGGTTCCACCGAAGAAGAAATTTAAAATTTCAACAAAATGGGAAGGGAAAAATTGTTTTCAAAGGTTATACGAATAGCTACGAATAAAAGAGGTGAAGTGCGACTTAGAACTAGGTTTGACTGCAATTTAAAATTGAAAGAAATGCAGTAGTTAAAATAATGAGAAAAAAAGGAAAGTATATCATGGAAATATGGACAGAAGTAAAAATGACTCGAAACTTATGTGGAAAACTGTGTGGAATAAGCAGTAAGAATAGAGACTCCGCGACCAAAACAAATACATAATATGCATTTTAAAATATGATATAATTTGCAGTAAGGCAATATTGCAGATTCATTTAATTTATGCCGCATAGAGAACATTAATGACATAATTAAGTCTATAGAAAGGGACAACAAGAGCCAATAAACTGTCAGAGAAACTCAAGACATTATTGAAAATTATGAATTCTACACTTCGAACTTTTTGTAGAAAACACTGAAAATTAACAGATGTAGTACATTGAATAGAACTGTCATGAACTTGACACATAAGGAGAAAAAGATGGAATAAGTAATGATTTACTAATAGCAAGCGTACACGTTTCAAACAAGGAGTTGAGAGTAGTAAATAATACATAAAGAAAAGGCGCATTTCCTGTGAGATGAAAAAAAATCACAATAATTACTAATCTTTTTAGAGAAAAGTTCATAAAAGACCATGAATATAGACCGATAAGTATAATACGAATGTAAGAATGAGATAAAATTACAATTAGTATTAAAAGAACGAATATAAATATAATTACAAAGGAATAATATGAAACAGATTCATCACGTTGTAGAAAAACCACTCTCGCCAGACGACAATGTAAACTATTTTTGATGAAGGAAAATTGATAATACGTAACTTGGTTTATTACTTCAAAACGACAGTAAAGACACTATAGGCCGTATTCATAGTCGATACATATGATAAGTAACATAAGAACGCTTAAGTAATAAGCATTTACTTAAAATACATGAACCCTTATGACAGTTTCGTATTCATAGTCCCCACGTATTTGAGAGTGGCACTCAGCCAATATTTCGCTACATAATATTAGACAACATCGCTTTATTAGTATTAGATACGAATCTAGAAGGCCGTATCAATCTTGTTATTCTTACGCATATTGTAAGAATAGCATATGGTTTCATTGACTGACTATCAACAGAAAAGAAATTATGAATTTCGTTTCGTTGCTTTAATGCGTTAAGTTCTATGCGGATAATTGCTATTAGTAGAATTTTTCCTATTTTGCATGATTAGTAAGTGTAATTATTGCGTGCCATATTTGTACAACACATAAAGAGAATTTTATGAACTTTTTAATATTTCTTTAATAATTCTACAAACTGAAAGCAGATGTATTCTATAGACATCTGCACATATCAACCGAAAAAATAATAAAATAAAAACACTTTTTCATATGATGCATTGTGATGATCATTGTAATCTATATACCATGGTCCTCTCTACCTACAAAATACGCCCAGGTGGTCTGCAATTGAAATCAAGAAATTACGTATCTGAAACCATGTTCCATAAAATATGTATTCCATTAGAATTTTTAGTACTGATGACCAAAGTTATCCTCTATTTCTCATCCCCACGCTGTGAGTGAGAAACAGAGATAGTAATGTTTACAACCGTATCCTTGTCAAAACGATATCTCTTCTTAAATTATTGTTGCTTATTAATTTCTAAAGGATTTTCTATGTCTCTCAACTATCGTTTTGGTACGATCTTCCTTCTATATTGATTTCAATAATTCCAAAACTCATAAACATTTTTTATGTTATTTCACGTTGAAAAATAGGGTTCACTTAAGGCTACTGATAGGCTCACTTATAAGAATAAGAGAATGTTTAAGCAAACACTTAAGTGGCAACTATGAACTGAAAATGCGAATGAGTAAACACTTAAGTGTTCCTCAAAAATAAGTGTCGAGTATGAATACGGCCCTATGTGACGTACGAAGGAATTATTAGCTGTTCAGGTTTCCCTAAGCTCCAAAATCCCTACATAGTTTAATATATCAAAGGCAGAAATGTACCACATTCACAAAATACACCCACCTGCAAACGAGATACAAGTGAGTAGTAGGAGTAATATTAGCAATTAGAATTTGAGACAATAGATATGGAGATTATTAGAGAAATTAACAGTAAATCAATGTGGAATTGTGCTGGAATGGAGAAGATTATATTTTAACAGTAAAACACAAAACGTTATGTTTAATCATCTATGGTGCAAATGTATTATAAAAAGTACGGTGTCTTATATTTGGCTTATATGGCTTATATTTGAACCTTTATTGTTTACCGATTTATATATTATATAAATGATACACATCAAATTTGTTCAGAGAAATGTAATATTGAAATAATCGCAGTTACGTATTATCCATGGGTAGGTGATTGTGGGAAAGTTGGTAGGAAAGGGTATACTCGCTGGGTATAACCTTTCATTAAAAATGGATAAATAATTCAAATCGAATGAAAATTAATTCTGTTGGAAAAATATGTGTTAATAAT